CCTTCGTTCTCTCTCCCTCTCTCTCTCTCCTTCGTTCTCTCCCTCTCTCTCTCTCTCTCCTTCGGGCTTCGTTCTCTCCCTCTCTCTCTTTCTCTCTCTCTCTCTCTCTCTCTCTCTCTCTCTCTCTCTCTCTCTCTCTCTCTCTTTCTCTCTCTCTCTCTTTCTCTGTCTCGCTCTGCCACCCGGAGATAGCGGCTTTGGGAAGTTATACCCTGAACTGTCCCACGTGGCCGCGCTGGGGTCAAGATCAGGCCGACAACCGACCCGTTTCACAGGGGCCAGGTAGATAAGGAGCTAGGTGTTCCTTTTTGCCTTTTATCCTAGCGTTTCGTTGGGATAAACCGGACATATACTGATAAATAATTGACAAACGTCATAAGAAGTTATGCGCCGATCGGCTGGGAGGAGGTTGAGCATCTGAATGAAATTGGTATCAGTAGCAAAGGAAGGTATACGAGTATAGAGGTTCATACGAATTTCATTGTGCTTCGGTTCAACGCTTAGAAAGCGACAAATGGGGGTAGTAAATTTTGGCAATGCATTCTCAATGCGCACCACTGAGCAATTGATGGTCCGTTTAGCTTCTCGTGAATAATTGCTGCTCCTTGTTATCGATTTTGGACATTCATGGTTGTGGGCTACCTACATAGATGAGGTATAACAAAACATTCTTTTGACATTCTTTCAAGCTTGTTGGATACTTAGATAACGTAGGTACAATACAATAGTCTGTTTTAACGTGTTCAAGCTTTGGTGCTTCTAAAACAACTACTTCAGCATGGTGTGGGTTTCCAGGAAGGTCCATCCATAGAAATTGTAAGAATATCAGTAAAATTTTATGTGTAAGCATTCGTTTCATTGTAATTTTCATCTACAGGCAATTACAAGTGAATTGTGCAGCTGTGCAGAACAAACTGGATGAAGCCTTCCCTATGTAGGGACACTTGAAATGGATGAGCACGTCTGGGAGTTGGATCTTCTAATCATCATTGAAACAATTTTAGCACGCACCGAACATGGTCATATGCCAGTTTCGTTTCATACAAAAGTCAGTTTTGATCGATAAACAAAGAAGTGAAAACACTTTCAATTTTTTCATAGCGCGATTTGAGTTGTGGGTGACAGCAGAATTTGACGCGCCTGTAGCTATAGCGTCGTTTCGGAGATATTATTAGGACGAAAAATTAGAGAAGCTGAGTGCCCGCAAGATATGGGTTAAGAGCTTATCAACAAAGCCAGGGCTGATATTGTTCAGGCCTACGAACTGCCGAACGGATACTATGCCGTTCACTTCTGAGGAGTTTGGTCAATTTGTTAGTCTGAGAACGGACAGTTAGTTTGTGATTTTCTTGTCAGAGGCCTGAGAGTGATGACCCAAAGCCAGGCACAAGATAGAACCACCATGTTTGAGCGTGATAAATGGATCTTTCCGTCACGAAACACTCCGCAGAGCAATGTTTCATTCACTGACAAGAGCCATCAACTGAGTGAACTTCAACCTTCTCGTCTTAACCCTCGCCGGACCTATTGGTTTTCTACATACGCGCCGGCCGAGGGGGGGGCGGGTACGACCCCCCCCCCCTCGCCGTTTCGCCCCTGGTGGAGCTAGCGCGTCGCGGAAAAAACGAGCGTGTGCGCCGTTACGAGACGCAGAGAATGGTACCCGATTTTAAGGTCCTAGGTCAACCGGTGACCTCTGAGGTCAGGTCAAGTGCCCCAAGGTACGGTTCAGTTTTTGGTGAATAACTTCGCAAAAAACGGCCGCAGAGCGCCGATTTTGGCAGCATCGTGTTCGCCTCGCTCAGGCGCGTCGAATGATATACTTTTTGTCCGGGTCAGGTCAACTTGGGGTGTTGACCTCAGGTCAAGGTCAGGTCAGCACCCCCAGGTCACGAGGTTGGTCGAAAGAGGTCATGTCACATATCATTCGATTCGGCAGGCCTTCCTGAGTCCATTGGTGGCTTTCCCGACTCGCTAGCTCAATTTGATCAAGAGTTATTGACGAAAAACTAATATGACCTTGATGACGTCATAAATGACGTCACGCAAGGTCAACATCGCAAAAGTGACGCATCTAACCTTGCAAGGAGTGCATCAAATCACGATTCTGTGTGCTTGAGATAGTTGGAGATCGTTCCCGGCGCCAGAATAGCAGTTTTCATTTTTCCCCATTGACTTATAATGGTGAGGTCACGAAAATGACCTGACCTCATATGACCTTTAGGAAAAATCCGAGATATACAAGTTGTGGGACTCATAATGGATACTACATCCTGCAAGTTTCATTTCCCTGTGACATCTCCTCTGGCAGTGAGGGCGTTGCGAAGTTGCGACATCTGAAGACCTTGCAGAGGTTCACTTATGACGTCATAGGTCAGTGACCTGACCTGACCCAAAAATGCGGTTGCTGTCAAAAGATCCGGCTTGGATCAAAGGTCAGGTATGCCAAGTTTCAGCTCTCTATCGCCAGCGTGTTCGGAGCTATCGCGAAAAAACCCTATGGGGGGGGGCGGCACCCCCCCCCCCTCGTCCGGCGAGGGTTAAAGTTATGCGAGCAAGAACCATTTTAATTAAAACGGGCAAAGGCCTTGTGAACTCGTATGCAGCTACAGCAACTCAATAGCGATGTGATGCGCTCAGCTGCGTGGGCAACTTATTAAGTGGACAGTGGCTCAGGCTGATAATTGCGAGCAAGAAACATCTCAAAATGCGTGCCTACACCTTCCGAATATACTATTAACATTTTTTAGCATCTTTTTTTTAAGTTAATATTTTATGAAACTTTATGTTCAACAGTTCGCAAGGGTAAAACCCATGGTAGCTTTTACCGAGACGGCTATTAGGTAGACATCATTATCAGAATATCTATCGTTCTTGTGCTTCTTTCATCTTGTCGGATTTCCTCACATCCTCGAAATGGAACTGTTGTAAAACTTTATGTGAGACAAATACCTAAATTCAAATCTCTCGCATCATTTCCATGTCACACATTCATCACGCCCGTCGCTATTTATTCTGTCCAACTTATAAATGTACCAACAATATAACTGCCAGCCACATAAGGCTCAAACATAACAACAGGAATAACATACCTTCATACAGGACGATATCGGCATCACAGATACACTCTCGGAAGATCCGAGCTGCCGGACACCCTGCATCAAAAGCCCTGATCGGGACTCGCTGTACTCAGCGTCATCCCACGGTAGCCCGCAGTCTCACGGCGGGCTGCTTCTGTAGACCAGCTATGCAGCTGGACCAGCTACCTGCTGCCCCACCTGACGGACGCTCTGCTGACGGGTCGCCGCGCGCCCCAGCCGCGAGACCAGGCGTCGTGTCGGGGCGCCGGCGGGCGCGCGGGGCGCCACGGGTCGCCGTGCTCCTGTCGCGCGTCGCCCCAGCGGCGCACCGAGCGGCTGTCGGAGAGCGGCGGAGCGTCCGGGTTGTACACGGAGAACTCGCGGTCCGGCTGACTGAGGAAGCGCCGCCGCTCGTTGAAGTCGAGCCCGTCATCTAGGTGGCCGGGATCCGTGCTGACCGTTCGGAGGCTCTCCATGCGGTCCGGGCCTCGGCTCGGGTCGGGCCGAGCCGTCCAGGGCCTCAGCAGTCTGCTCAGACCGGCCGGTAGAACGCTGAGGAGGCTGACCGGCGGCCGGCCGTGAGCCAGACAAACCAGCGAGGCGAGCGCGAGCAGACAGAGACGCGAAGACGCCATGGCGGACCGGTCTCGGCGACTCGCCCAGACGAACTGGCGCTCGCCGGCCGCCGGCCGCCGCTCGAAAGTGAGAGGAGGGTTTTGTTGATGCCCTCCGGCCGCCGGACGTCACGTCAACAGCAGCGAACGGCGGCGACGGCGGCGCTGCCGGCCGGCCCGGCGCGGCCGCAGACGTTTGGTTTCGCTGTACCGCCTTTGGTCATCGCCGATCAGGGTCGTGACGTCATCACTAAGGAAAGTGAGCGGGGTGGGCGGCGGCGGCGACGACGGCGGCGGCTAGACGGCCGGCTGTAAGGGCAGGAAGATTCACTGAGGCCGCTAGCGGTGCCGTGGGACCGCTGGAACACAGTCGGCGCAATACAGTCGACACGATAGGAAAATTAGCCCGAACCGAGTGAAATTGAGCAGCGCGGGAAGCGGCTCGTGTGGGTGGAAAGTTCAGTCGCGTTTTTCGGTCACTTCCGGCGGAGATGCGATTGTGACACATAGCGGCGGGCCGGCAGGTGTGCGCGGACGGACAGATAGGTTTTGTTCGTTACCATGCGGCGCCGGACGGGACAGAGGATGGTTGCGTAATCACAGTCCGGGCACGCTGTCCTCTCTGGCACGGATAGCGCGGGCCTTCCTGTGGTGATGCAAGCATCGCATTATACCCACGCTCACCTGCGAACCTTTCAGGAACCATCGTCTGTTTGCCTATGGAGATGAAGAGCTTCAGGAATAAATCAATTCCATCCAGAGGATGCTTTCTCCTTGTTTCCTTGTTACATTTTGCTATGCAATTGCATTGAAAATGAGCATTCTTTACAGGACAAAATAAATAGAGAGCTAAGAAACACGTCATAAGCTGGTCAATTGAGACAGATGAATGAGCCAGCTGACGTAGCTTTCTGTTTGGGCCAAGCCGGCCAAGCCTATTGGAGTGGAAATATAAATGCACCCTCATGAGAGTTAAATGGCAGTAATTGGGCTATTTGATGAGCAGTTAGCTTTACAAAGATGATTAGAGTGATGCATTCGGAGAGTTGGCATGGATAGATTGCAACCATTTGGCTTAAAATAAACTGGTAGACATTAAATAGATCGATGTGATTTCAGCCCATGGATTGATGCGTCAGATAGGCTGGCTATAGCTGAAAATGAATCATTCGTGATCCTCTTTACTTGAGGAAGTAGAAGCTGCTATTGAAAATGACGATATCTCATGAGGGCCGCTGCATCCCTCTGACTGCACGTTTACTTCACCTAGCGTCGCCTAAACTCGCACAAACCCATTCTGTTGCAGCCCCGGGCGCCGGTCTCAGCAAGAGCCAGCAGAACAAGGTGGTGTACGGCCGGCAGCCTCACAACATCACGGACCAGGACGACCTGTGCCCGCCACAGAAGGAGGTGGCCTGCCGCGAGTGTCCGCAGCTCGTCTACCCGGGCGTCGGCGGCTTCCCCGTCAGCTACGGCAGCCTGGTGCGCAACGTCACCCGCATCATCGGACTCACGCCCAAGGGACTCGGCAACAGGACCATGGGTGAGTTGTCGCCAGTATTTGTAGTATTCATCTGCATGTCGGATGCTTCGTAAAAACCCTTGATGACCTACTACAGGTTCCGTTGCGTATGAAATGGGACTTTATTCACCGCACTGTCGATGTTTTTTTGGGGGGAGGACTAGGAGGGAGCGGCGCGTAGACAGCAAGGTGCAGAAGCACCGATTGCGAGCCATGGCGATGACTCAGTTGGTAACAGCTCTAATGCTGGAAAACATGGACAATTGGACAGTGGACAGCGGACTCGTGCAGTGTGAACAGCTCGCGAGAAATACCTGTTACAATTTGAAGTCTGAGTGAATATGCAAATAGGTACTTTTCAATTATGAGCAGCTTCGCTTTAATGTAAAACTTGCTAAGCTCGTTAGGCCCCAGTGAAACTAAGCAACAATGTATGCTTGTGAGGAACGATCCGCCTTGCATGCCTATATTACGCTCCTTGTTTGTGGGACCTGGAAAGGCTCGTGCCCAGCATGGGTATGAGCAATAACGAGACCGGCTATAAAAAGTGGCACTGTTTATGAGCGAGGACGATGGTTGTTGTCAGGCCTGAATCGAAAACATCTAATCTGCATAATCCGCGTAACGAGGTCGATAGTCTAAGCTGTGCGGAGTTCGACGCTGGCCATTGGGCTAGTTAGTTACTTGCACGGATTTCTGATAATAATGAGATGGTAATGAATATGCTAAGCAAAAGCATACATTATAAACTAACGTTGATTATTTTACTCAATAATCATACAGCAGCTTTTAGGAATATCTGCACCGCATTTGATTAGTGCTTCCGTTGTGTATCATTTAGCTACATTGTAAATTTGGCCGGTGTCGCACGAGGCAGCTCTGACCGACGTCGGTCCCACCGGACGCCAGGAGCCGTCTGTTTGCAGAGCGGAGGCAGAGACGGAGGAAGGTGCACCTCTTCCTCTCCCTCCGCCGCCACGCGCTGACGTCACGTCACGACGCAGCGGAGCGTGACGCGTGACGTGTCTCTTGGCAGCGGGGTGCCAGCAGACACCCCGTTACCGGCGGCTAGGCTCGCACAATCTCCGCGTCAGGCACCTGACGCACCGAGTAGCGGTAGTGACGAGTGACATGTGACAAACAAGCCATGCATCTTGGTGGCGAGCTTGGAATTCCCATAAACTGATTGTCAAAAAATGAAAGTAAACGTTACTTCTTATTGTCAGGAAGCGAAACAGGATCTTTTGGTCTTGAAATGGGTTAAAACTTAAGAGCTCTTCCGGCATTGTCGATCAAATTCTGACCGGACATTCTAGTGGCACTAATTTCATTCGCTATGAGACATGAGCATCCTTTTTCCGATTCCAAGCAAGGTCATGCCTAAGATAAATAATGTATTCGCCTGAACATATCGTCCATCAGACAGCTGACTAACACTTCCCTGTTTCGGCAGCCTGCGAGCTGTCAGCGGTCGGCAAACCCGTCTTCAATCGCGACTCGCGCGCACGGTTCGGCGCCTGGATGAGCGACTCCGACCCACCCACTCTTCCCGACGCCAACAAGTACTGGTACACCCACGAGCGGGACACGTTCAAACTCTTCGAGTACTCCAGCAAGGACAGCTTCGACCGCAAGATCGTTACCCGCAACATCACGCTGAGGAAACCGCACCAGGGTAATTCCCACGTCGTCTTCAACGGGTCCTTCTACTATCACGTCCGCGGTGAGCCGAACATCGTCCGCTTCAACCTGCGGTCGAGCCGGATCGAGAATACGCTGGAGCTGCCCGACCTGGCCAAGAACCGCAGTGTGACGCTGTACAACTCCACCTATACGTACGTCGACTTTGCCGTGGACGAGAACGGCTTGTGGGTCGTCTACGCCCTGCCAAAGTGAGTGACCGACACGGGGCGCACGGGGAAGGTGGTTTAGGCAGCGGAGGAAATGTTTTATTGGGATGATATATAGGTAGGTCTAGGTACGGCCCTCCAGCAAAAGAGTGGTTGGTTAGCCTAAGTGCTTTTGGTGTAATAACTTTGAATGACAGAGACACTCCTGCAAAATGACTCAATAGAAATGAGAAGAGGGTTCGTGCACACACTTCGGCAATGGTTTTCAACAGCCATTAGACGTATTCATCAGTGCAGATCGCTTATTGTGATGTTGGCAACCAACCACTAAATACCTGGAGGGCCGTACTATGAAATAAGCGGTCTAGGAAAATATTTGTTGCGCAAGGGTTTTAGGCGGTTTTATTGTTGAATGACTTTACACATAGAAAACAAAATGCTAGCTCATGGTGTCACTTGTGTTAGTTATGTGATATGTCACTCGTGCTGGAGCTCTGATCTGACCGGACCTCTGTCTCTTCCCTCTCTCTCTCTCTCTCTCTCTCTCTCTCTCTCTCTCTCTCTCTCTCTCTCTCTCTCTCTCTCTCTCTCTCTCTCTCTCTCTCTCTCTCTCCTTCCCTCCTACCTCTCTCCCTCGCTCCCTCTTCTGCCGGCAGCAATAACCTGGGCGTGGTGAAGCTAAGCTCTGAGCTGGACGTCCTGCAGACGTGGAACATCTCCTTCCAGGGCGACAGCCACGCCAAGGACGGTGACACCATCATCGTGTGCGGCGTCCTCTACGGCATCAAGAGTCGCACCGAGAGCAACACAAAGTTCAGGTAGGAGACGATCTTTGTGGGCATCGCCCTTCGCCTGGATAGGTTGGATTCTTGAAAGGTGTCTTCTGTTTAGGGACTGTTTAGGCAAACTTTGGAGTTTTCCTGATAGACGGTTTGCAGGCAGTTGATCGACTATTCATTCATTCACATTATACGAACATCACTCGAATTGGAAATTAAACGTTTATCGGCAATCCTGCGACATTTTATAAAATATAAGTATGCTAAAATATGAAAGAAATATTCGTCGCGCTCATGTTGATTTTTTTCTTGTTTGGTGCTGTACAGCCGTTCTCACTAGCAACACTGACGCTGTGCTTTTCCATTCCCCAGCCTCGCTCTGGACCTGTATACACAACAATCTCTACCATACAGCGGATTGACGTACACAAATCCATTCCGGCAAACCACTATGATCGGATACAATCCACGTAATAAGGTGAAAGCCAGCGAAGCCTCGTTCATTCAAATCCATATCTATAGGTTTATTTTGATATTGGAGCCAAGTTATAACACCCAGCCCCCCCCCCCCCAAACATAAGTTTGAAGTCAGAAGACGTTTACCGCTATCTTCTGTTTGTGTGCGATGTTACAAAATACGTCTTCCTAGGCAGGCACATCAAATGCTGTTTGTTTAAACGCGTCGTGGCTGTTTGTTTAAAGTCTGAAATTCCCCAGTTCTGAATGTTGATACGGCATAATCACTACACCGTTTCATTTTCACCCAATAAAAATCAACCGGTGGGTATTAACACCAACGCACTGACCCAGTCAATGATTGTCTCCATGATGCCTCTTCTAAGGACTGCAGAGAGCTCCTCGCTGGTTACATATCCCACCAGTGACACGTCACTGCTTTCCCCCCACAGGAGATCTTCTCTTGGGATAAGGGCAACCAGCTCACCTACCCGGTCAAATACAACGCGCTGGACGACGACACCTCGGACAATGAGCCGAGCATAGAAGCGCTCATGAACTCGCCCGACCACGTCATCAGCGAACCGGAGGAAGACCTCTGAGAGGCACCCGTTCACCACCGACGGGGCGAAGCCGTCGGTCAGCGCTGACTGACGCTAGGTCGCCGCCGACGGAGCGAAACCGTCGGTCAGCGCTGACGGGGGCTGGCGCTAGGTCACTGGCGACGGGTCAACACCGTCTGGTGATCGCTGATGGAGACTGCAGTGTTAGATCACCGCCCAGGCAGGCAGGAATATTGGAGAAACTGACAGCACCAGTCAATGATGTTGGGATGCTGCTTGCAATGAGAAGCTACAGCAGAAAACGTAGAAATGGTTGTTCACCTAGGGCTGAACTCGAGAATATGTGATGTCGAGCCATGAATCGGCTTATAACCTGCGTGACATCCTTATTGTAATACCACATGTCACAGGTGGCTAAACGTTTAACCCTCGCCCTGGCAGGGCATTTTTCATAACACGGCCTGGCAGGGGGGGGGGGGTCGATGCGACCCCCCCCCCCTCGTGATTGGCTCCTATGGCACCTAGAAACACCAAATTCGGTATGTAGGTGGGCCTCCTGGAGTTCTCGTCCCTGTGCAAATTTGGTTGCTCTAGGTCAATATTTAGGGGGGTTTTGGGGGGTATAAGTGTAAAAATTTCGCTAAAAACAGGTCAAAAGTTTTTCGCTTATAACTTTTGATCTAATTAAGATAGAGCAAAAAGAAAAGCACCAGTGAACTCAGTACGTCAGGGCACGTCGAATGATATCCTTTTTAGCTTGCTTAAGTGTACTTAAAGTTTTTCTTAAATTTTAAGTAAACTTAAATTAATAAATTAAGTTCAAGTTAACCAAATTGCATCATATCGCATATCATTCGATTCGGCTGATCACCAGGAACACAATGATACCATTTTTAAGCTCTAGCGTCATTATGTGCCAAGTTATTGGCAAAAACGTCATTTGACCTCAGTTGACCTCATTTGACCTGACCCATGGATAAGTACACCAAACAAAGAAGACCAAGTGACCTGCTGTTAAGTACTGTGGTTTCAAAGCACAAAAGTGATAGAACGAAGCGGATATCTCCAGTATTTTCCGAATTTAGTATTTTCCCATAGGCTTAACATTACGACGTAATGACCTCTAACTGACCTCAGGTCAAAGACCTAAAAAAAACCCGAACTATATGTTATACAACTCGGTGAACTTAGCACATCCTGAAAGTTTGAAGGAAATCAGTCCAAAACTGTGAGTAAGACAGGTGCAAAAATAAAATTGAAAATTGACCATGACGTTGTACCGGTTTTTCTGACCTGGTGACCTGACCCAAGGTCACTCGGACCTGAAATTTTCAGGTCATGTGTAAAAAGGTTGCCCCATAGGCTGTACCAAATTTAGCGGCGCTGCGCGCCGCCGTTTTTACGCTATCTTCGAAAAACCTTAGGGGGGGTCGCATCGACCCCCCTGCCAGAGCGAGGGTTAACGCATAAAATAAACGGCCAACAGTAGCACCTTAGAGGAAATGTTGCCGGACGATGCTTGTTTTACGTTTCGTCTGATATACCATTGAGCTCCGATCGACAAAAAAAAAACGAAGTTATGGCCGTTATAGTACTAGCTTTCAGCTTTGGGCAGTGTTTTGGTCTGTGATGTTGTTAGAGCAATGCTCACCATGACATTCGCGACTTGGGAGGTTGCAGAACGCAAATATTTCACCGCAGCTGGGATCAGAAGATGCTGATCTGACAACCGGCTGATGCGATGATCGATGTTGTGCTGCATCCCTCCTTCGCAAAACTATCGGAAGATCGATGTAAAAACTGCGACAGAGATAGGTCCTATCACAATGACTAATGATCGTGGAAGTGTGAATGGCGAGGGGAACGAATACTCTACCGTGTGTTTTATATGTTTGTATATGTTAGATTTGTCGAGTCGGTCGAGTCGCTTGACAAGACAACAGTAATTGACATGTGCCCCATATCAAGCGTGAAGTTCTACTAATGTCACTAGCTTCACATTTCCCAATTGACAGTGACAACATTTAACCGAATTAATAAACGAAACAGCTTTATTCGTGTCTTTGGTCATCTGCGATAAAAAAAATAGTTCGAACCTTTTTAATGGAAGGGTTCACAAGCCCAGAGGCCAGAGCCCCCTCTAAACGAAGCTTGTTCCGTTGCCCCTTCCCTCTACCCTCCAATCACGCAATTCCGGTTCTATGGCACAACATGGAGTCCAAAGTTTAACGTGCGCACATAGCCGCGCACGGCCGGTCCCCTGGCTGACTTCGCCTGCAGCTAGCAGCTACGGCCCGCCACCAACCGCAACCATACCTGTCAGGAGGCACATAAACGTCAAGCGCCCGTCGCGCTTCGAACCCGGACTATTATAACCGGGAACGCGTGCTCTCACCACGCGGAGTCCAAAGCTATACCGACTGAGCTGCGGGACCGGCTAACCCTCGCCAGGCGAGGGCCTTTTCCATAACACGGACGGCGAGGGGGGGGGGGGGGTACGACCCCCCCCCTAGCTTTTGGCTCCTATGGCACTTAGAGACGCCAAATTTACAGGGTAGGTGGGTCCATAGGAGATCTCGCCCCTGTGAAAGCTTGGTGACTCTAAGTCAATATTTAGGTTTTTTTGGGGTATGAGTGCAAATTTTTTGCTAAAACATGTCAAACGTTTTTCGCTTATAACTTTTTATCTAGTAAAGATAGAGCGAAAATAAAAGCACCAGTGAACTCAGGACATCCGTGCGCATCGAAGGATAAACTTTTTTTTAAACCAATTTAAGTGAACTCTGGAATTCAGTTACCGCTAAGCTAGTCCAATTTTCCCCTGACCTTGTACCGGTTTTTGTGACCTGGTGACCTGACCTGAAAAGACTGGGACTTCAAATTTTCAGGATAGGTGCGAAAAGGTTGCCCCAGAGGGTATGCCAAATTTGGCGGCGCTACGTGCCGCCGTTTTTACGTTATTTGCGAAAAACCTTAGGGGGGGTTGCATCAACCCCCCTCCCTCGGCGGACGAGGGCTAATACATCCAAAAACACTGTTTTACAAAAGCTATTCATGAAAGACCGGAGGAGACTCAATCGACCCGTTAAAAAATAGGTACGTGGCAATTTGAGTTTCACGATCATTCGCTGGCATTGCACGTCTTACCTATGCAAGCTAGATTCTAATAAATATCGCTAGCTTTCACCGCTAAATGCTGCCTAATCATCATCCTCCGACGGTAGGGGTGAGCTGTGGGTTAATCTCGCAGCATTGCTACGTCATTATCACTTTATTATAAGACTCCCGATTCCCCCTCATTTATTTGGTGAGCTAAGGCTTTGCAAAAGCGGTCATGTTTTCAGGTTTTTCTCCACGAGAGCCAGTTTTTATTCAATATTTATGTATCAATAAAAGTTCATATGTTTACAATGCAAATTTGATAAAGAGTCCGCGATGGTCCGCGATGTTTTGCATCTGAATAAAAAATAGAGAGTTCCCTCTACACTTGTAGGTATTTCCTTCATTCAGATTTGGAAGCGATAGATGATGCTTCTATGGCGCAGATAGTTCATGGAGTGGCTTATTGCATTTAGCACGGTGCATAAACACTTCAATTTCGCAAGCAATTTCGCACGATTTATAAGGAACAATCGCTACGAATTATATTTCATTTGTTCATTTACGATGTCTAAGGCTGTGGCCAACAAAGGTTCGCGCTGGGCGCTGGATTTTACTGTAAAAGGAAGGAATTCAGATTTGCCAGCTCCTCCAGGCTACAGCCTGTCTGTGAACCAGTCATCAGAAGTGAATAAGGCAAATGATGCAAGTCTTGTGATAAAAAGAGCATGGGATCTTGCGCTCTCTCCACTGAAACAGGTACTGAACCAAAATGTATTAACTTGCAAATTCTTTGTCAGCATCAGCATTGAAGTTGTGAGCTCTGCCCTTCAGCCTTTGGTGTCAGTGTCATTGGATAAGTACCTGGTTCCAATTTCCAGGCGGCTGTTAAGGAGCATTTACATCAGCACAATTGTTTTTCCATTTTTGGAAACTAATTTGCTCATGATACTTGGCGTACTTGGCCTACCATTCTTGAGCATTACAGCCCTTGTACCTCAACGAAAAATGTGTCTATGCAATCCAGTCACCCTCCTTGTCCTGACTGCCCATGCCTTTGTGGTAACCATGTTGATATAGTGACAGTGGTTGCTGAGCCACACTCATGTTTGATGTACACAGACTTAAAGGGACCCTCCCACCTTCAAAAAAGTTAATGAATTGGCACGAAAGTGATGTCGCTCGGTTCAGAAAGAGCGAAAACGAATATCTACCAAATTTCATCGAAAAATATTCACCGGTTTTCAAGATATTAGACTTTTACTTTTGTTTACTTTTTGGGATCTCCGCTGTTCCTAGCGACTTTATTTGAAAGTGCGGCATTTGTTGCGCGCAAAGCAGCATATACCACCGCGTGCTACCAAACGTTTTAGTAAAAGATTTAAAAATCGTTAGATCTCCGCTGACGTCACAAATTCTAAGGGGGCATACCAATGCACTAGCCCCTTAGAATCCGAAAACTGCAAGTTTGAAATTCCATATCTCCGAATTAAAGCATTTGTCGATGTTGTGAGTGCCCAAACCGGTATTTGCAGGCCATGGCCACCAATTTGGCTATCTCAACTCAAAACTAATGTTAAGGTGGGAGTGTCCCTTTAAAAAATTAGCATGCATATGTTTTAAGAGTCTTATAGCATATTGCATCTATCAATGCAAAGCAGATTTAGAAAAGGTGCTACCTGTCTGATGAAAGGACAGTTTTCAGTTACCTACCTTATTGATAACCCATTTACAATATCGCTAAAATTACTAGTTTTCAAATAGAGGTTTATATTTTTACCATTATGGAAAGATGGTGTAGATGAATTTATCATACCCATTTGATATTTTATTCCCAAAAGGCATTTTGTCAAACATTGCTCAAAACATGAGCTGAATTATATTATGTCATTCATCAACCTTGAAGATAGTGCAAATTAAGCTATTCAATGTTCTTGCATACAATTTTTATTTTTCTACTGTATACCAGATCCTGTTGGGTACACGCAAAAGCAATTTTGTTTCAAATTGTTTGAGGTAGGTATGTGCACCTACATTCCCACGATGTATTTCAGTGACGTCTGGCGATTTTTCTGGCAGATCCCGATGAACCTGTTCATCATGTACATGGCCGGCGACTCCATCTCCATCTTCCCGATCATGATGATCGGCATGATGTTGCTGCGCACCGTGAAGGCGCTCTTCTCCATCCAGCAGACATTCAAGATGATCGAGGGCGACCACGCCATTCTGCAGCGGCTTGTCTACTTGATCGGCATCCTGGCCGGTATCGCGCTGGCGCTGTACAAGTGCCACTCGATGGGTCTGCTCCCCACCCACGCCTCCGACTGGCTGGCCTTTGTCGAGCCGCAGCAGCGCGTCGAATATGCCTTCGGAGGGGTGCGGATGTGAGACGGACGGGAGGAGTGAGCGCGGGTGTAAGAGTCTCGGGTGCGAAATTGAATCTGGGGGGTCAGGCCGGGTAACTATACTGAGGTCGTGACCAGTTTGGTGCATGTGATGTATGGTATGCATGGTATGTGACACGTGTAATTCGTTCGGGCACCAGTGCTGCCCATGGGATGGGATATTATTATTTACATAATGCGAAGAGTGTGCATTGTATCTCGTTTTGTCATTGTTTGTCGTTTCATGTGTTGTGTTGGATCATGGACCGTGGTAACTCTGTCTCTTACCAGTTACCATCATGGGCACATTGAAAAAATGAGCGTCACCACAACCAAAGCACGTTCAGTGTGTATGCTTCGCACGAGGCAGTGGAGCAGGGCAATGAGGTGATGGAACTAGATGCCCTGTAATGAAGCCACGTTTGTCCAAGCGGCGTTCTGCCAATAAAAACTAAACGTATACCTACTAATCTTCGGAATCATAATGAATAGCGATTAGTGACGTCGACGCGATGCGACAGAGAACGTTCAAAAGAAAAAATACAAACAAATCGAAAACTTGTGCGACGCACTCCATATCGTTTTGCCCAGCTGGCCAAGCAGCTGGCGCCAAATGGATGAAGCTAGGTCACTAGGTCATCGGAGGCTGAAGTAAGCCCCACTTACATTGGGGCGCCAACTTGGGAAGCTCTCGGACAGGGTGAGGCCCTTTAGGCCGATAGGGAAGGAGCTCTCGAGCGTGTACCATTGTATGAAACACGGGTAATGCACGCGGCCCCAAGACCGGCTTGGACTCTCCTCTCTCACATTAACCAGAAGAGTCAAATGATGAGGCGTGAGAACCGAGCTTGGTCTGCCATACGCAGTACGCACCAATGTTCCATCGTGCCACAAATCACAGTAAAAAAGACATGCTGTCCAGCATGCGACTAAACTAAATCAGCATTTTTATCCGTTATTTGACTTGGTTATTGGCATTGTAAGAGTTCGAGCCGGTGTAAACAAAATCATGAAGTAAATAATACTAATCATGGGAGTAATCATGGGTTCTCTACTCCATGACAATCAAGGCGGATGACAATATGTTTCCGCATAGCACTTGAAGTACCAAATGAATACGTATTATTTTTTAGCAGCTCTGTCCGTCGCCCATCAAGATGCATTTTCGACATATCTGACGCACTAAAGACAAAATATTTGTGATCACTTGCAGGAAACGCTCGGACCCTTTCCGAAGCAGTCTCAAATACGCCAATGAACGAGAAAATTTTGAAAGAAAACGTCATTTTCTGTGGCTCATGTTGAATCACCGAAGAGGTTTTTAACGTCAAGGAGTGTGAGCGCCAGTGGTATAACCTCGTAACGTAAATAATAGGGTTTTCCCCACGCACACATTGACATGTAATATAGTAAGGTGTTTTGGCCTATATTACTAATAATTCCACTTATTTGAAAAATTACATTTGCGTGGGTTTCCCTATTCTGCCTTAAAAAGTGGCCACCGGTCTCGCTTCACGAGCCGGATAGCCTCCTCCTCGCATACTCGCCAGGCCGAGGATATATAAGGCCACAAAAAAACATTTGCTGTGCAGGGTCGGCCACTTAGGTAAATGCCGAATGCTTGGGCCCTATTATTTCTGAAAAGATGTATGGTAAGAATTGCTGATCGTGTAATTTAGTCATTAAATGGCTAAATTGCGGGTAGTTCAAGTTGTAAAGCAGGCGTCATGCTCAGTCGGGGAAACTATGGCAAAATCTGCTATTTTTAGCAGTCTGCTATTTTTAACAGAAATCTGCCAAAAATGGGTACGCATGTGACGTCACCGTACCCAATTATAGCAGATTTGGGTCCAGCCCCATACAAAAGCAGATCTGCACCCTAATTGAAGCAAATGCGCATCAAATGCCTGGCAGGTTCATGATGAGAATAGTGCTGAGAATGTCCTCTGATATTTTTGTTCAGATCCGACTATTTTTAAATAATGAATTTGAAAATAGTCGGATCTGAACAAAAATATCAGAGGACATTCTCAGCACTATTCTCATCATGAACTTGCCAGGCATTTGATGCGCATTTGCTTCAATTAGGGTGCAGATCTGCTTTTGTACGGGGCTGCACCCAAATCTGCTATAATTGGGTACGATGACGTCACATGCGTACCCATTTTTGGCAGATTTCTGTTAAAAATAGCAGACTGCTAAAAATGGCAGATTTTGCCATAGTTTCCCCGACTGTGCTTGTTTTTTGCAACCAGGGAGAGGCGGTTGTACAACCACTCAACTTAACAAATATTTGATTAACCATTGCTTGCAATCTCCTAAGGCATTGCCTTTGGCACTGCGCTGCTTCACAACAAGCAATTTGACGTCACTTTCTTCACAGTTGAATAGTATCTGAAATATGTATTCACTCATTTTTGGAGTGCAGTCACGCAGTGCATGGTGGGTGGAATACACAGTCGGTGGAGGGGTACGGCGCCCAGCGGTGACAGCAAATATTATATTGGAGCATTTAGACTTTTTTTTGGCATGAATAACTATCAGATATGAAATCAGGAGGTCAAATTGTAGGGTGATATGCTTGTTACTATAACGTGAGGTTTGCTTCAAAAGGAAAGGCTGTCGGTCTTAAAGTAAATAAATGCCTCTGGCCCTAGCACAGTTCAGTGTTATTTTTTTATACATCTAATTATGCTACCAGTCTTCTGGTATATGAAAATTCATTGCTTAAGTTTCTTGCCTTTTCATTGGTGAACCACACACCAGGTAAATTTGTTCAATCAGAGGCCAAAAACTCCAGCAAGCTGGCAGCCTGCTGAAAAAGTGGTGAATGGACAAAGCCTCTGACATGGAACTGTAATTCAGCTACAGCGCAGAGAGAAGAGACAGCTCAATTCTTCCATGCAAAGACAAAAAGGATTACATTAGAAATGTCAAGGTCAGAGGCCATTATGTCAGGCCAGAGGTCATTCAAAAAATATCATTGTTGCCTTTGCATGACAGATTTGTGAAGCACGTGCACTTTGCCACCAGGCACCAGAATATTGTCAGTTGGGCTTATCCACATCCCCTGGTGGTAGCTTGATGAATATATCTTACAAAATCCAGCAGTATGGCATCTCCATTCCTTATTAACCTCTCAAAAGTAGTTAATCTTCACATGCAGTAGACTTAGAGTTGATTGTCCTGTTAAGCATGTGAAACTGCTGTGTAATTGTTCTCAAGTGTTCTTTCCCAGCAAAGCATTAAAAGTTTCAATTCATACAACTGATATTGTGAAAATGACAATGTTTGTTTTGGTTTCAGCACTTGCTACTCACTTACTGACATCGGCTCTATATAACCACACTCTTCAGCAGGTGTATTGGAACTACAACAGGCTGTCATAGAATCAAACAGACATGGCTGATTCATCAAAGACAAAAGAAAAGGTGAGTTACCTTGAAATAATTTATGAGCATAGGTAATCATTGGTATTGTTTACTTGTCAAACAGCAAGTGGTGTAGGTTTCATAGCATAATATGTGTGTACAATCTAGATAAAGCAACAATACAGAAGTCTTGCTTATCACTTATCTTTGTACTAGTGTTGTATTTTGTATGACTGCTGGCATTGAACATTTGACTACTTTTAATGGAAAGACTATGGCAATAATCATTGTTATAGCCAGCCATGACAGTAGGTGCAAAGGTATTTCCTGAAATGTTGGATAGGCAACTTACTTGTCTTTTTGTCATCTAAAGATTGAATGATCTTTCTCCCCTTCTGCTTATTATAGAGACATAGTTAAATGTAGCATGTGTCTGTTTTGCAGAAAGGAGACATCCCCATGCCACCAATGTCTTGCATTGTGTGCATCTACACTCTGGGCTTCATGGTAAGTAAAGTATGTAGTGTGCTTGAATACCTAGATAGTACCTACTTATGTTACCCATAAGATGAACCACTACCGTCCTTGTGTGATCGTGAACTGTTTTGACTCATTTAGGTTTGCGTTTGGAATGAAATTAACTAAAAAAGAATGGTTATATGTTTGGAAAGGTGAGGCAGATTATTTCCAGCTGGTATCTTTTGAATGGCTTACTCTGATGTAGAAATCATTTTGTCTTTATTCATAAGAAAATCATAGATACAAAGACAGATTTATCTGTACCTACTAACTGCCTAGCCGGTACTGTATTGACGTAGCGTTACCCAGGTGCCCCGATCGTAACACATCGAGACGGTAGCGGGGTGCATTGTCGCGTGCTCTGTAACGGGGTTCCTGAGCCGCGTAAGCGACAAGCGGTAAGCGGCGTTCGAAGATCATACAACACCAGTAAAACGCCTTTTGGGCGACCAACGGAGCGAGCGAGAGGATGGGCCTTGCACGTGCGAAATTGCGAGGGGGTACCTCCAACTAACTTGTGCACTGCACCCTACTAACCGGTCTTTAGCGATGTGCCAAATTTCAGCGCAATCGGCCTAGCCGTTCTCGAGATCTGGAAGCGGCACACTGCACGTGCGCACGTGCAAGCGGGGTCCAAACTGACTTTTGCACGGCACCCTACTAACTGGTCCCCAACCGTGTACCAAATTTGAGCGCAATCGGCCCAGCCGTTCTCGAGATCTGGGAGCGCCCCCTGCACGTGCGCACGTGCTGTAGCACCCCAACCTTAACACATGCAGATGAATTATCTGATGGAGACCTAACTGTGTACCGAGTTTCAATTCAATCGGCCCGACCGTTGTGCCGTTATTGAGGTTGCAATTTTGGGGGTTCTTAAAAAATGTCCAACTTTACCACGCGCCACGTGCGGTGGTTGGCAAGAACGCATGATGGCCATCACACCACAGAACTTTTACGTCCAAGTGACATTCAGTAAAGAAGACCGCTTGTCAATCGGATGTCCCGTTCCTAAGATATTAGCTTTTGAAGAGCGTCCCCACGGCCGGCCGGCCGCTCATACTCAGGATTTTCCCTTAATTCAGTATGAGACTCCGCTCGCTTCGCTCGCTCCGTAATAATTTAGGAAGCACGGAGTCTTGCTCAGGATAAATGTTGAGTAACCTGACAATATCGTACGTAAAATTTTACCGAGGTAAGACAATAGGTAGTCATAGGTAAGACAAAAACGGAGAGACCTACAGCCAGTAAAACGCCTTTTGGGCGAAGAACGAGCGAGCGAGATAGTGAGCCCTGCACGTGCGGAAGGGCGAGAGGGTGCTTCCAACGGGCTTGTGCAAAGCACCCTTCTAACCGGTCGCTAGCGGTGTGCCAAATTTGAACGCAATCGGCCCAGCCGTTCCTGAGATCTGGAAGCGGCATTCTGCACGTGCGCACGTGCAAACGGGGTCCAAAATGACTTTTGCACGGCACCCTACTAACTGGTCCCCAACCGTGTACCAAATTTGAGCGCAATCGGCCCAGCCGTTCTCGAGATCTGGAAACGCCCCCTGCACGTGCGCACGTGCAGTAGCACCCTAACCGCAACACATGGGAATGCAATGCCTGGTGGGTGCATACCTGTATGCCAAGTTTCAGCGAAATCGCCCCAGTAATTACCGAGTTACTGAAATGGGAACAAAGTTGGCACCTCTTATTGTTGTATTTTGCGCGTGCACTGGGGGTGACCCACATACATCGAGAGTATCCTATTTTTGGTAGAAGGGATGCAGCTACCCTACAAAAATTACCGCAAGACAATCGCCCAAGCGGCTGCTGAGATATGAGCCTCTAAAAATCACTACTTTTGCAAAACAGCTTGAACACCCCTGACTTTTCACGTGGCACGTGCCACGACGGTCACTGAGATGTATCAAAAGTAGTCAATTACGGGGTAGAAGGGATGGGGCTACCCAACAAAGAAGACCGCAGGCCAATCGGTCCAGCGGTTGCTGAGATATAAGCCTCTCAAAAGCGTTACAGGCCGGGCTGGGCCGGGCCGGGCCGCGAGTTTCCTAAGTGTGGAACTATTCATACCGTCGCCCGTTCGAGTGACGTCATCACTCGGCGCTGGCGGCTAGGTGCATGGATTGGCGGGTCCTTAAGTTGGCGAAGAGGCGGAGCCAGTTATCCTGCGTAAATATTTAGTCAGTCTTAATTTTAGCGAGTTCCCTAGCTAGAGAAAAAGTAACTTGTTCTACGTGAATATATAACCGGTGTTATTTCAGTTATCGTTCGTGCATTCGCCCACCTTGGAAGCATATCTCCTACGAGGTGCTTGAGTTTTGACGGTGTGGTTTGTGCAGTGTGCACTGCGTTTCGCTTCAGCATTGAGCAAATGTCTTCAGTATTACGGCTGGTGATACTGCCTATCGGCGTTGAATGATGTTTGACACCAATAGGACATAAATTAGCAGGTAGTGCGAATTTATTATTAGCAGATTTATTAGCAAGATTATTAGCAGACTTATTGGCGGATTTATTATTTATTTTATTAGCAGGTAGTGCGAAACTATAGTGCGGATGGTGAGTGACGCCATCTGGACCGATGCTGGAGATGGTAGCGCCACCTGCCGCCACTTAACTGCTCGCTACTTGTAACAGTGCCTGGCTGGTGCTTTGTGTTGATTGTTTGAAGCGTAGTGTAGTACCTTATGACGCATAATATAAGGTCACTTTGCAAAATGTGAGGAGCATGGACGAATTAATTTGTGAGACATTGACGCCTTAGTAATACATAATTGTTCCCAACACAAGCTATGCATTAGTTTACAATGTAATTGCTCAACTTCCCATAATAACACCAGGGGCGCTAGTGCCGCGCGCCTGTAATCGTGCAGCGATTGGTCAGCCGACTGTGAGCCATGACGTCACAGCCTGTAACGTCATCTCGGCGAAGCTTGCGCCAATCATAGACCTTAGGTATGGGCAGTTCCACACTTAGGAAACTCGCGGCCGGGCCGCTCATACTGAGATTTTTCCGTTATATTGAAAAGACTCACTTCCCTCGCTGCGCTCGCTCGCTCGTAACAATGCGGAACAAACTTGAGTTGCTCATTTAAGATGTTTCTTGAACAAGTTCTTAACTTCTCAGATTTGACTTCAGGTCAATGGTTGGTATGTATCGATCCTCAGGACCACAGGGCAATGATCCGTATCGATCAAATTGATATTGATAACCATTCAGCGCGTCCAGTTGAGAGAAATGCGATGATGGTAAAAGGAACATCATAGATAGAAAACGAAAAACGCTGTCGTAAAAAAACGACACTTGCTAACTTCGGTCTTTTTACTTTACTTAACCTATGTTGGTCAAATCTAGGTCCGATCTGTCAGTTACGTGAAAAGCTAAAAAAATTACTACGCCCTTCTAGCCCTTTTAGTTCAAGCACAGTGGAATCGTTAGTCGAATATTTTCGGCCTCAGCCGATAAGTCACAGATGTCGAGCTTTGACGATCATTTGAATCATAATTTTTAACGTGGTAAAAAGTGGCTTAATTGATCTCAGTTGGCCTTCTTTTATATTTGAATATGGCACGTGGCAGACGTTCTTAACTTCCTAGCTGACAGCCCACCGTCCCGCAGGACCTGTTCGCCATCAGTCTGATCCTGCCGCTGCTGCTCTCGCACGGGGAGCAGCTGGGCGCCTCTCCGATGATGAATGGCCTGGTGGGGTCTGTGTACGGGGGTCTGCAGCTCATCTCTAGTCCCATCTGCGTGAGTCTACCAGAAACTGTACACGGTGAAAAGGAAGTAATTTAACAATGGTTAGCACGGTTACTATTTCATTGGACAATGATTGGGTCGTCATTAGTTTGTTGTGATGTTGAATAGCTACTTGCTACATATTTGTTGGACTGACGTCCGTGTACCTACACGGGCGAATTGTTGGCTTCTTCCAGCTTACATTAGAAGTGCTATGTTGTGTCAACTATCATGCCCCAATCGGGTGTTGCCTCTAACTGCCCCTGGTTCGGCATTTTCCAGGGAAGCTTCAGCGACCAGTATGGCCGGGCCCGTGTGCTCATCATCTCGCTGTTGGCGTGTACGGTCAGCTACCTGACGCTGGCCTTCTCCGAGACCATCCTGCTGCTGGTCATTTCACGGGTTCTGGCAGGTGAGACTGTGGTACCGTGACTTTCTGAACTAAAGCGTTTGCGTATCGTACGGTTACTACTGGTGCCATCTAGCGACTCTCGTACCCTGGGCGTCTTTGACGTCTATGCTTAACAAAAATCTACGATAGTCTTCGTTCTGTTTTGCCCAAATCGGCTGAAATAATTTCAGAAATGCTCAGTGTCAGAAATGCTTGGTCCCTTCTATTTTTTAGCGGCTTTTTAGCTTACTTCACTTGGTTGTTGACTGCTTTTTATAGAAAGCGATCTTGATTGAAATTTATCGAGCAAACCGTCTCATTAAAACCGTTGATGAGATTGGTCATAAAATCAACTATTAGAAGATGATTGACCTGTTAGCCTGATTATAGATATTGACGTTTTTCTTCTTTATGTTCCTCCAACTGTCGATCTACCCCTCCCCCATCTCCCTATCAGGCTAGGTAAAACACAGGTAGACCATATGTCAGCCTGTTTAACCTCCCCACCTTCCACTCAGGTTCGTTCAACCATATCAGTATAACCTCTCCTAACCATGTGCCACTTCCCGCCCAGGCTCGTTCAAGCACACGCAGACCATGTGTCGGATGCTGCTGGTCGATCTGGAGCCGCCGTCGGAGCGGCAGCGCGTCATCGGATGGTTCAACGCCATCTCCAGCATGGGCTTCATCGTGGGCCCGCCGATTGGAGGACACCTGGCCGGCATGGACGGCGGCTTCAGGCTCGTCACCCTCATCTGCGCCGGACTGTTCGCTACCATGTTCGGTAAGAAAAGGGGTACTTAACTTAAGCTTGGAACTTGGGTGATGCTTGATTGGTTGATTGTTTATGCGACGTATTTTTACATTCTATTGACATTTGTTAGTTTTCCAGCCATCGCATCATCATTTTCGGCCACTGCTCATTTTCATTTCACAGTATTCAAGTGTCCCGTGTGTTCATTTGGTCAGCCCTCGTTTTGTTTAGTCGTAATCTGCGCCCCTTTGTCTTCGTCTAGCCTCAGCAGATCTTGAAAGTCACTACCTGACCCACACCTGACGGCTGACCTTACCTGACCTGCCCATGTGACCCGCTCAACCCCCCTGTTACGCCATCTGTCCATTCCCTCTGCAGTTTTGTCGTGTCTGCTGGTACGTGACGGACCTCGCGCGCAGCACCACGCCGCCGCCACCGCCGTCGGTGAGTCCCTCACCTCCTTCACCGATGTCGACTGGCTGCGTATCGGCGACCTGATGGTGGTGCGCTTCTTCTACGCCTTCTCCGTGCTCCTGTTCCGCGCCAACATGCCTTCGACGGCCGCCCGGCTGTTCGGTATGACGCCCGTGCAGTTCGGCTACCTCATGTCGATGCAGGGAGTGGTGAGCGCCGGTGCCGGCTTCCTCACCGGCCCTATAGAGCGGTTCTGCGGGGATCGTCTGACGGAACTGGCGCTCACATCCGCTGTGTTCACGGCGGCTCTGACGGCAGCCAGCCTGGCGCCGAGTATCACCTGGCTAGCCGTGGCACTGATACCGCTCTGTGCGTGCACGTCTTCACTGCGCGCGTGCGGCACGGCTCTGACCCTGGACCGCACGCCGCCGGCGCACCACGGTCTGGTGATGGGCGCGGGTCAGAACATCGCCTCCGTGGCGCGGCTGGCGGCGCCGCTGGCCGCTGGTGCCGCCCAGCAGCTGGTCAGCGACCGAGGACCGGGTCTGGTGGCCGCCGCGTGCGCCGCCATCGCGCTAGGAGTGGCTGTCTACATCCGCCAGGCGGCGCGGTCCAAACGGGAGAAACAGGAGTAGCCGGCTGGATGCGGGCGGTCGCTCGACAAAGGTGAGCTGACTGCAATATCACCGTGAAGAGTGGATACTGTGAGAGACGTGATACGATCAAAGGCGGGTATCGCATGCCGTCTTTTCGTCACTCAGTATTTGGCCAAAGTTGACGGTGAGTCACATCTGATCTCACTGTGTTCGGCTGTGTGGGATGGCTGGTGGCTAGTAGTATTTGAGAGCAGTGTGTGAGTGTGTCGTTGAATTACCTACAAGGAAAAACGCCTATCAGCTATTGGTGCTCGCTCAACTTTATTCGGTACAGGGTTACGGCAAATGGCATTTAACTGCATAGCACACAACTCCCTTTCGAGGAATGTGAAGATGGAGGTGGTATATTTATATGTTTTATATCCCATCCAAGGTATCTTGGCCTATAGTCTGTTTCATTCCAAGTTTGCAGTCGGAGTTTCTTCGGCAGATCCGGCAGATCGCTCCTCCGCTCAAGAATTTGCGTCTTAAAATGTAAAAGCTGAATATAAAGAAATCTCGCACTGCTTTCAGCAGGGCACTTCGGCTGCAAGCTTGAAACGGAACATAGTATAGTTTGTGCTATCATTATATTTTTTTAACTACTTGCTAAATTTATACAGGGTAATTGCAGTTGTTCTCCAATCACTCCATAGGATGTCTTTTGCCTATGCTTCAAATCATTTAAGGTCACATTGTGTGCTTGTTATGGCGCCAGCGGTCATTAAAGTGATTGGTATATTCTGTTAATTGTTATATCGGTATGCTTTATTCAATGATTTGAGTTAAATATTCTGACAGGCGCAACAAGTCATATTTTCCAGCTAAATACTCGCTGACTTTCAAAACTAGCCAGCATCGGTATTGAATCGCGATCTTTGTGAATACGCCTTTATGGAAGTTCATAGTGGAACCTGCTAGGTGAAAGGCCTGTGTCGGGAATGACAGTTGAAACACATGGGCAGATTTGTTACTTGTTGGGGAAGGGACCATGAATACATTCTATTGAAGTGCATTTATTGTTTGAACCTTAAGATAATTAGAAAATGCTTGGGAGTCGTTCAACTACATTGCTGATTATGATGATAACATATCGAGTCCGTGCAACTCGGTGCGTTTTACAACTTTAATTGTGTACACTGCATGAATAACGGACACAAGCGCCTCAATGACTGCTTCCTGGATAAAAGTATGCAATGTTGGGTATTTTTCACAATATTTCCGTTCATATCAGACTAAACAACTTTTATCTTGAGTCTTCTGTGTCTGCAATTACATTTGCGAGTATGCGTGTGTGGGGGCATACAGCTTTCTTAGTTTAGTGGAGCCTATATTGCCATGGACCTGCCTTCAACTTGGAAGTGTTTGCCGTATTGTTTCGTCGTAAGACACATGTAGAAGGCTTGAGTACCCCGTCATATATAGTCCGTTTTGCAGATCTGAACATCACTCCTCAATTGTGAAACTGCGCTCCACTGAGCTCGCCGGAGTTACCCGACAGAGCTCAGCTCTGTCTCGCTCGCGCTCTCTCGTATGCGCCTAAGCTAGTCATGAACGATTTAATTTAAGAACATCGAATCAAGCACTAGTTTCAACCATCCTCCGTGATTCGCTCGCGACTGCATCACATCCCTTATTTTAACTCTCCAGAAGTTTCGCCATAACAAATTCCATGTTCTATTGTATTGGCAAAGATAATGGCATTTCGTGTATATCCCATTTCCCCCTTGCTGTCCTACAAACCAGACCTACAAACGGATGCAGCGAGCATAACGTGCATGATTGATGTTACACCAATGTTTTGATATAACAAATATTGATTCACGCAGTCTGCGCTGGCAAAGGTCACGGCTAATAAGTAAACTGACGGCATCCGGTTCAATTTCCGGTCGTCCCACACCAATCACGTACTGTTTCCCACCTTTGCACACTAAACAGCGCTTATTTCACTGACCGTTTCAATGAAATGGCGAGTGGATGGTGTGCCTTCCGTCCGTCGCCAGGTCTTTGCTGAAGGCGTGCTTGGCGTGCTCCTCGTGATTGCCTGTGGACATCCCCGACCAGTGTCCCGTGTGGTCGGGGTCCTTGTGACTTCCGTCGGTGTAGTGCTCGTGTTGCCTTGTTGGATGAGAGGAGTGCCCTGTTGGGTGAGAGGGGTGCCCTGTTGGGTGAGAGGAGTGCCCTGTTGGGTGAGAGGAGTGCCCTGTTGGGTGAGAGGGGTGCCCATTTGGGTGAGAGGGGTGGTCCTCGAAAGAGTGAACCGCCGGACGCCGAGTTATGCGCTGTAGTGGAGCGGGGGTCAGTGCCCCGCGACTGGGACGGGTCGCCGGTGTGGGGTGAGCCAGCCAGTAATGGGCCACGGGGCTCAGTCGCTGGGACCGGGGTGGTAGCCTCGGTCGGGCGGTGGGGGTTGAAGACTCGTTACCAGTGCCGGAGAATGGTCTCTGTGTTGTTGGTCCCAGCGGCGGCGTTAGGATGGTCCGTGGTCTTCTGGTGGTCCTCGAAGGACCGTGCTCGTACGGGTGGTGACCGTGAACCCAATGCCCAAATGGTGAGTGTACCTTTCTCGGGTATTTTGTGAGCGACTCCGGAGCGGCAGTGGTCGGAGGTGCGGGAATCGGATGCAACGAATGGTATGACTTAGAAACGACCGGATGCCCATAATCCTTGTGTTTTCTTTTACCTTCTTTCTTGTCCTTGTTGTACTCATAGGTGTTTATACATCTGCTGTCGCCTTTGACGCCGTGCCTGCTGTATTCTCCGTGATTGCCAAGCTGGGTGGTGTTGGTATTATTTCCTCCGCGTTTTTGTGCCTCTGCGCCGACCTGCATGATGCCCGCTGGACCGCCATTCACACTCCTGCAACGAAACAAACACGGATTGCAGGGTAATGTGTATTTTAAAAGAAACGTAGCTGTAACATACACCAAACATTTTTCTGAACGTTCTAACGGTCGGTATTGTATTGATTTTATCGGCCAGGCCTATGGCTGATAACGATCTAACCAGATGCAACAAGAGTATGATATTAGGTATATTTTGTATCTTCTATCTCCAGGAGCGTTCCGTCTAAGCATATGCAAAGATGACCAAAAACAACAACCATAAAGAAGCAAAAAGGTAAATTAATACGCGGGCACGAATCGATTGAAAAGTCAGATGCGAGAAAACGATGGCGCGTTAGTGGACAGTCTGTATTCTTATTCGATGGCTTACAGCCGGGCATACAAGAAGCATATGCGATGGGTATCTACTGCTTCTATGATGTATAACGTAGTTCACCAAGTACACGACCCATTCCACGTAAAAACGGGCCCGTATTCGTACAGTATTGCACGCTTGTTCCAAAGACGGTCACGACTTTGAGCCGCTTCGGGAGTGTGATTTCGACCAGTGGGTCAGTCCATGCGTTTTTGCACCGTGTCCCGAGCCGGCCGGCTCTCCAGCAGTGTTATGCTGATGTGGGAAGCTGCTCCCCGATCCCAGCTCCGAGCTGATGCCTGCGTGTGTCGCTGGTCTGCTATCGCCTCCTTTTTGTATTATGAAACTGGGAATGCCGACTTGCTGTAACGGTTCGTTGTCACTGGATTTTACCAGCAGTGTGCCGTGGTGCTGTGGTCTCAGAGAGCTGTCGATGCCTGCCTGGTCAGAAGGCTCCGTTCCTGTTCTTGGCTGTCTGGAATCGCTGAATGGTAGGGTATCTTTCCTCTGAAGACTTGTTTTATTAAAGTCCGTATGAAGTGAAGAGTTGGACGGTCGCGCCGGTCTGGAGACGTTCGGATCTTCCGGCGGTCTGGAGTTGTTGGCTGACCGGGAGGTCGCGGTCTGCTTCAGCTGCTGACCAGCAGTGACCAGGAGCGGATGGTCCGTGGTCCCCAGCGGTGGTCCGCCCGCCTCGCGCCTGGCGAAGGACCGGTGGCGTTGGTGGTCGGATTGGGACGGAATACCCACGGTTAGTCGTAGGTCCTTTCGATGCCTTAACCCTAGTGTGTACTGTCAACTCCGGCAAGCATATTTTAATCTGACCTCTAAACCAGATCTAAGCACATTGCGATTCGAATAGCTGTTTTGAGGACACAAACACGCAGTTCATACCTACTCTTCATGCAGAAATATTCAATGAGCATAGTTTGTATCCAAGAACCGTTTTTGATCACACTCTCTTTTTTTGCGTGTGTTGTTAAGAAAACCGCGGCACGCTGCACCGCAAAACTTGGCAAAGTTTATTATAAATCAATTTCAATACAATCAATTTCAATTTCAATATTATAAATCAATTTCAACACAATTTCAATGCTCAGATCATCAATACGGATCGATTGACATGCAACATGGCCTTTTCTGCTCAGATCATGACATTGACCTGAGGTCATGACCTTGACAGGTCAAATTTTACAGTTGACCGTTTTAGGTCAACTTATAGTTTGTCGATACTTCTCGACAAGAGAAACACGATGATGGCCAGATATATGTCATTAAATGATTGACGCAGAAGTTATTGCAAAAATGGTTGGAAACATTGTTTTGCCAAAATCCGCCTGTTAAGGTGACTTATACCACATGTGGGCCAAACCGTTGACTTGAAATCAAATCTGAGGCTATGTTGGTGAAAGGGCCTTGAAAGAGCCATCGAGCGCTTTTCCACGACTCATAGCTCTTTCAGTCACGAGATATACTATGATTTGTTACAAACTATTAAAATCGAGGAAATTGTAGTTACGTGATAATTTTACCTTTGGTGACCTCCACTGACCTCAGCGGTGATCTGATCGAAAATGTATCTGTGTCATTCTGAAAGATCTTACAGCGAACTATCTATTCCTTTTTCCCTATCTTACCAATCTTATTACATTATCTTAATCCTTTATTACTATCTTATTAATTTATTATTTGTTGGCTTATTACTTATTACTTCTTTCGGCTAGTTATATTAGCTTTTAGATAATCGTGCGTGGCCAAACCCCCCCCCCCCCCCCCACGCTCCCGCCCACCATGGCGAAGTTGGCCGAGACCCAACGAGTACGTTCGCCCCGAGTACGTGGGCGAAGACCCTCTTTGCTGTTCCTGGACATGCCCGTTCTTACCGTGCATAAACCCAGCGTTCCTTGTATGTATATAGATAAGAAGAGATATGCCATTTTGCTCACACGCCTACTGATCACTGATCTGATCACTGATAAGCGCTCACTCAATATGTTGCTTGCGCCTTGCGGTGTTGCTTTGCGAATCCCCAACACTCCATTAATCATCCCCAATGGTGTTTATGTGATAAAGTATGGGTCCGTCCTGATTTTGCGTTTTGTTTTTGGTTTTCTGACAATGGTTTTAGGATATGAAATGTTGCCAATAGTAACAGTTTTTCCCTCTTCAGGTTCAGATGACTTAGATTTAGATATTATTTTATGTTAAGTATTCAATATCATGCCGTTGAAATGTTATTATTTTAGTTAAATTGTTACTAAAACTGCTACCAAATTAGCGTGTACATAAATAGCAATCATCATATAATCCATGCACGTGAAATTAATTCCATGAAATTGAGCTTCATTTTGCGTAGGAATAATTACTTACGGATTTTTTCGTTTGTCGAATGTATAGTTGAACGTCTTGCTGGTCTCCTGCAGACTGACGCTGCCGCGCGATTTGCGGAGTCGGCGCTGACTCTCGCTCTCATTTCGGCTCCCTGTACAGAGAAAGTAAGGAAAGTCAATTTCATTTGTAGATCGTCTACGTGTGTTACAGGGTAAGCGGTGGCTTCATTCATCATTTCATAAATTTCATTTAATCATGTTTTATACCGAGATTGTCTGTAAATCTCCTGAAAAGTATTAAAGCGCTTTAATGATATGCATTTGTCGTTACCAAAGAAAACGGCGTTTCCTACCACAAATACGACGTGTATCTTACCGTCATTTTTGTATAGCTCGGTATTGTTGGTTTTATCTTGCTGGGTTTCTCTGTTTTGTTTGATGTTTGTGTCTCTTGTAGCATGGCTGGCACCAATTACAATATCTGGGTGATTACCTGTGAAGAAATACTAAAAAGTAAAGGGTTGTCCTTGCTTGGCACTTGGCCACAAAAACAATATCTGAAAGCAAAGATACAGAGTAACTTAACTGTACACATTTCATATTATTTGATGAAAGAAATGAACCCTACGAGACGGAATGAATTGCTTTCTTCATTTTCACAACCTTTTTCTCAATACAAAGGAAACAAACTTATGGCTATCCGACGTTTACATAGGTATATGAAGTTCAATGCATAATAGTCAAATGATCGCGCTAGGTTATGTAAGGTGTAGGCATTTACATAAATGAATAGTGCAATTGCATTGTCCTGTGAACTGGTGAGAGGCACCCATTAACCCTCGCCCTGGCAGGGGGGGGGGGGGGTCGATGCGACCCCCCCCTAAGGTTTTTCGAAGATAGCGTAAAAACGGCGCTGCCAAATTTGGCACAGCCTATGGGCAACCTTTTTACATATGACCTGAAAATTTCAGGTCCGGGTGACCTTGGGTCAGGTCACCAGGTCAGAAAAACCGGTACAAGGTCATGGTCAAATTTCAATTTTCTTTTTGCACCTGTCCAACTCACAGTTTTGGACTGATTTCCTTCAAACTTTCAGGATGTGCTAAGTTCGCCGAGTTGTATAACATATAGTTCGGGTTTTTTTTTTACGTCACTGACCTGAGGTCAGTTAGAGGTCATTACGTCGTAATGTTAAGCCTATGGGAAAATACTAAATTCGGAAAATATTGGAGATAGGTATCCGCTTCGTTATATCAGTTTTGTGCTTTGCAACCACAGTACTTAACAGCAGGTCACTTGGTGCTTCTTTGTTTGGTGTACTTATCCATGGGTCAGGTCAAATGAGGTCAACTGAGGTCAAATGACGTTTTTGCCAATAACTTGGCACATAATGACGCTAGAGCTTAAAAAATGGTATCATTGTGTTCCTGGTGATCAGCCGAATCGAATGATATGCAATACGATGCAATTTGGTTAACTTGAACTTAATTAATTAATTAAAGTTTACTTAAAATTTAAGAAAAACTTTAAGTACAAGTAAGCAAGCTAAAAAGTATAGCATTCGACGCGCCTTGACGTGCTGAGTTCACTGGTGCTTTTCTTTTTGCTCTATCTTAATTAGATCAAAAGTTATAAGCGAAAAACCTTTGACCTGTTTTTAGCGTAATGTTTACATTTATACCCCCCAAAACCCCCTAAATATTGCCCTAGAGCAACCAAATTTGCACAGGGGCGAGAACTCCAGGGGGCCCACCTACCTACCAAATTTGGTGTTTCTATGTGCCATAGGAGCCAATCGCGAGGGGAGGTCGCATCGACCCCCCCCCCCCCCCCCCCCGCCAGGCCGTGTTATGAAAAATGCCCTGCCAGGGCGAGGGTTAATACATCCATCAATATGGCGGCAATCATCGCACAACGCACCACCCGCGTTGAACGAAGAGACGAGGGAATACGATAACCATGCATGCGGTATATAGGCATGACACTATAGTTTCTGACACAATGTGCGTATACGTGTGCGGTATCCTGTCATGGCCGCCCACAGCTAATGACACCTGTTCCGACGGCAGGTGAAGGCCGTTTCCGTCACGCAGAATCGCGGGTGGGCTATGAAGCTGAACCCTGTTACTAAAACTTGCACCCATGGCTTATAGCAAAAAAGTAAATTAGTCAGGAGAGCATTCACTTTTTCTGGAGATGAGGTCACCTGGTGAGCTCTTATAGTGACTTGAGACTGCAATTTTCACATATGCAGAAAGAGGGACGATAAAGATATTTCAAGAAGGCAGTTTTTTACATTTGGAAAATAAATATTACACCTTAGGTGGACGGGTTGCTTAGAATTACAGCAACCAACTACCTGCGCTTTGCTTATGACATGAGCTCACCGATCGACCAATTTCGACTACCCATTCAATGCATTCACCAACGTAATGTTCTGCTCTGTCACCATGTCAGATTTTGTGACGTTTGTTTCTGCGATTCGGTTGTTGACTTTCGACCTCATTCGTGCAACCCTTGACATCATCTAAGGTTATTGACCGTTCGACGGGCTTGTGACAGGGATTCGGAGTCAGCCACCCAAACCCGCCAACAACACTCATCCGAGCCGAAAAGCGCCCACAAAAAGGAAGTCGTGAACTTAATCACCAAAATGAAAAAAGCCTAAATTGACACGGTCAAAACTGCTAACTGAGATGTGTCCCTGCCTTGAGCAAAACCGTGAGCCGTAAGTAATCACAAATCCGACCTTAGATGAACATTTTTTAGAAGCTCCCCACTCACCAATGGAGACTGTGACGCCGACGCGGCGCTCTGTGCCGGAGGTATTGGTGCTCCTCCGCAGCCTGTCGTCTGTGTCCTGGGTCTCCCTCAGGCGGGCCAGTCTCGGCTCAGAGCCGCCCTGCACCTCTCGCGTGGTGTTCCGATCCAACAGGGTCACGTTGTGGATTCTATCCACCCGCTCGCGATCTGTGTCGTTCTTCTGCAGAGAGACGTTGATCTCTGGCGCTGAAATTGATCGGGAGGACACGCGGTCACCGATCGTGGGTGGGAGATGCGATGACAAAACGTTGTCACTCGCAGCCCGCAGGTGGTAGGAAGCAACGTCCTTAAATATTGAACTGTTATTTCCACGCTAAAGGAGTATAGTTAGCAAATACTTTTAACTCCAGTCCAGATTCACCCGACAGATCTGTACCGCTGAGTGCCCGCGGACATGGAATCGATTAATCGATTTAGATTCGCTGCTGATGTGAGTCTCATAATTATGATCGAGCAATTATTGGTCTGCTTATACACTACAATATTTCCTAAACATAATTACCACTAGTGGTGTCAATTTCAGAAAACCTATGTCCAAACTCCAAAGTCCGTCTAATGTCCAATGCTTACGTCGACTGTCCGTCCAAAAATGTCCAAGCCAGCCATTTGTCCAAAGATGTCCGACACCTACGCAATAGTTTACACTCAACACTGTTATTCAATTTGCTTTTCATGTACCGTTACCAGCTCAAAAGTGTTAATCATATGGAAAGCTGACCTTTCTAATAGCCAATGTTAAACACGATTACTTTTTAAAAATGTTGAGGTGTAGCAAGCGATTGTCCAAAGTTGTCCAAAGCCTGCTGCCATTGTCCAACTGAATTCCGAATTGGACATTGGACAAAATCGGAATTCCGAAGATTCAAGTTCCGATTGACACCACTAATTACCACCGACCATGGTCGTTGATTCTTGTTATAGTTAGTTTAAGTCATTATGACGATATAACATATTTGACTCTCAATATCAAACGTCTTGCATGCTCTCCCAACCGTATCCATGTGTTGTGTAATTTGCAGATTGGTTGCACTTTGTGCTACCGCTTATATCATTTATTATGACCATGGTTGATAATGAGGATGAGTAGGTATCTACCTATGTTTTACCGAACTCACTTGCATGATCTTGCTTGAATACACTTTCAAAAAGCCTGGCAGCTTTTCCTGTGCCTGTGGACCCGAATCAGGAATGTTAGGTCACTAAAGAACGGTCAGGTAATTTAAGGCCAAACTTGTTTCTTTACCAACTCGTTGAAAGAACTCGAGGATACCAATAACTGCACCGCTGTATACTCATATAGATTTTCATGAGTTTTTTCCATACGCTGTTCAAAGAGCTGATCAATTACCAGAACTGCAAGTCTTGGACGAAGAAAACAACTATAGTGGAAACGCTGCCGAAGAAATCTTCAGACTCGTGCTTCCGTAAGCCCCTACAATAAACATAACACAGCTAACATGTAATAAGAAGCCTCATCGACATTGCCTGTGGCTCCATGGTGCGCTGGAAACGGCGTGGTCTGGCTCCAGACGGGACGGAGGAAGAGTGTCGTGTGTGACGGGTACCAGGAGAGCGGCCGGCGCCGCCCCGCCATCCCGCCAGGCCACGCCCTCAGCTTGCTGCTCCTTTTGAACGGCTTCGTATTGCGACGCTCCCGGCGGGTTGAAATGGCTCTTGAGGCACGACCGAGCACCCAGCGAGAGCGGCGGCCCGGACGAGCGCTGGGCAGGAGGCTCTTGGTTCTGGTACGTGGCGTGGGTCGCCTCAGATGACGTCTAGGCAGTAGCCTCTTGATACCAGCGCGTGGCGTGGGGTGACTTGGATGAAACTTGGACAGAAGCCTCTTGGTTCTGTCGCCTGACGTTTGTCGGTTTAGATGACCCCGCAGAAGAGAATGCCGCTCCGCCCAGCGGCCGCTGAGCGGTTCCTCTTTCCTCAGCCACAGTAGCCGGTGACGGCTGCGCAGTGCCGGCTGTCGCCCACTCGGTTCGGCGTCACCTGGTGGCGCACAGACCACCACCAGCAGCACCGCTGACCACCAGCTGCACAACCGCATCGCTGACGCTCCGACGGAGAATGTCAGCGCCGTCAGCGGCCACCGGCGGCCGCGCTGTCACCCGGACACACTGGGTCAAATACCGCGCTGGCGGAGGGGGCGTCCGTCTAACGACCGGCTCCGCCGCAACAGCCACTGTCGACGGGGAGGATGTCGTTGGGTACGTCGTGGCAGTAGTGTGATTCAGTCGTCTCCACGTGCAAGACTCAGATCGCGATTCCAACCACCCAGCCGTGTGTCACGGAGACGCTGGCACGGCGACACAGTCTTGTTACGTGCAGTCCGAGTCCGACGGTATACAATCTTGTCGCATTATTGCGTTAGACCTCACAACAAAACTTGGACGCCGTCATTTTAGGTAGGTATAGAAAGAATGGACCGACGATGATTGAAATTGTCTGCCGGCTCTAGTTTTTGCCATGAAAGGTTACTCGACACAGACTCGACATCGGGATCCGGTATGGCACCGCTTGTGTTCTGACGTCAAGAGATGAGCCTCACAAAGCCTTACCTGACAGGTGATGACAGTGACGCCGGGAACCGACCGACCACGTCACCGTAGGGCAGGAGCTGTTGTGGTATTGTGGTCTTGGTTCGTGGCATTATAGGATGCAAGTGGATGGCAAAACTTCTCACAAAATTTGGATTTAGGCGCTTTGTAACTGCGCAACGCAATGATCAGTTATATGTTCGAGTAACTGTTGAATATAATGCAGCATAGGTATCACAACATGTTTCTAGAAAGGGAGTACTTGTATCCGGATAGCCGATGAATCCATTTTAGGTAGGTCATGTCGCCGTACTGTCAATTAACGCTCTGCCGAGCATTTCCAGCTCGGGTTTCAGAAGCTGTAGACGTTCATGTCAGCGGTAGTGAGCATACAATCTCCATTTCTAAGGACATCATACCCCTATCTTCTCAGTTGTCCGATTACGCTATCTTGCCGTCGCCGTGCTGTGCGGAACAGCCTACCTTACGGCGCAATGCTGCACCGGCGGGTCTCCAAGCGTTGCGGGACAGTCTACCTTCCAGTCATGAGACGGGCGGCGCTCCATGACTGCCCGTGCCAGCCTTTTGTTCGACGGCGCAAAATTGTATAATTGTTCTCGGCTCTATGTAGCATGTCGGTTTTAATGCTTTCATTTGCTAGCGGTATATGGAAAGGTCATATACTCGTACAGTTAACACTGGCCCGTAATAGGGTGGGTGCGTGGGGGGGGGGGGGGGAGTCGAACGGGCCACCCTCGGTTTTTCACGAATAACTGGCGTAAAAAGCGGCCGATCGCGACGAAAGTTTCAGCACACTCGAGTTAACCAACTTTAAACATACCCTTAGAATTTCATGACCCAGAACCAAATGAACATTGACCTGTGATCTATTTCTCGAGACCATATTTGTCACGGGCAAAACTCTCGCTTTTTCCGCAAAGCTCTAGCTCGATCAGGGGCCAAACGGCAAGGTTGGATAAAGACAGCTTGGATAAAGGCTTCGCAGCTGACAAAACACCAATACGGGCGAGGGTTAAATTATAACCAATTCGATTTACCTTCGTTGATTCACTTACCTTCTACCTATTTAAAGTGCGTTCGAATTTCAAGGACGACATTGTTACAAAAGATGCACGCATGCAGTGTTGCCTTCTCCCACATCCTGTTCCAAGAGCGGCCGTACATATTTGGTTCATGTTGGTCACCTTTAGATTTTCGAGTTGGAACACTAAAAACGCTGTGTTGTTGACAGCTGTCACGGCTTCGGTCGTGACACATGGATCTGGTATAAAAATAATGATGTTTTTTGTTCTGTATTGAGCCTCATGATAAATGTTAGTGGTAGTGTACGCCGTAAACTCAGTAAAGATAACTTGTTTGAACGACTCTGAAATATTTCTATGCAAGACACACGGGTGATTTCTGCTTTACTAATGGCTGCCCACATGCGTGAATATAACAAAGGATAAGCATAAAACAGCACTAATGTCTAAGCCTCGAGCTTCAGAGCAAGCAAATATCGTATGCCCGTACTCACCTGCTCCCGTCTGGTTCCGTACGATAAGGCAGACTTCACGGTTGTCGTCAGGCTTGCATATTGTCTGGTTCTTCGGAACTGGAAAAAAATGAATTCGTCACATTCATTATGAACACAACAAGCAAATCATTTGTCGTCATCGTAGCATGTCTGTTACAGTGCTATAAGTGGCTAATGGATAAACCTCGTTTTTTTCGTGTCATGCCTTATGAATAACATTTGAAAAGAGCAACAATGTGTGAATAGGTGGCAATAAGGTTGATAGTTCTTTTTCAGGAACCTTCTGACGGTACGTACATACTTTGGAAGAACAAAGGTAATATAACATGAATTCTGATTATATGAATAGCACGTTTACCGCTGTCTCTTGGACCCCCAACCCCGCGATGCGCTGCACGGGCAATTATTGGGCTTCCGCGGCGGCTCGTCCATCGCATACTGACTGACCTGCATTGTGTGAGATATTTTTGGAGCGGAGGTGTTCGCGCGCCGTGCTGTGGAACTTGTCACTGCTGATGCCGTCCAGGGGCGGGTGAGGAGAGACACCGCAGTCGCCCTCGGCAGTGGCAGTCTCTCCCCCCGCACCCCCAGCCGTTGCGGCCTGCCGGGTGGAGTCTGTAGGGAGAGGTATCTGTCATTCATGACCGTTAGAACCAAGTACATACGTCAAATTAGACAGGCGAGTGTTTTAATGGCTACATTTGCAGAAATTTAGGCTGGGTGTGACACCAGTTATAAGATCAGAGCCGACTTAATATCATTCAGCGAAAGCTTTAGGTGTCGAATGTCGATGCTAATTAGAATCTGTGACGGCTCTTTTATAAACTGCTCCGCCGTTTTATTTTACTTGTCTTTCAATTCAAAGATACGAGTGTTCGTAACTGCACGTATACATATAAACCTAAAATATCCACCCTTTACAAAGGAACATGTCGCTGTAAGATAACCTTGATTCCTTCCCCGTCGACGTGTCCCCGCCAATCTCACCATTCGACGTCGCGTTGCACGCGAGGAAGCTGTGCGCGCTGTGGGAGGCAGGCGGCTTGTCGACCCCGCCGGCCGCTGTACGCGATAAGACACCGCCGAGAGTGCGCGTGACGTGGTCGTTCCAGCCGATTCGGTCAATGGTCGTCAACTTCCTGGCACGCTCAGTGGTGTGGTGGTCCTCGGTCTGGTTGGAGGGATGATGGGAGATGCTTGCAGTCGGCGCAGCCTGCGCAGCTGAGACAGACACAAAGCAGTGGAGAGGGGCTCAACAAGCTGTATGTAATATACGTATGTTATATGTAACATGCAGCAATCCGGAGATGCGGCCGCAACCGATACGCTTTTAGTCTGGCGGGACATTTTCTGGCCGCAGTAAATATTTTATAGGCAGTCGATTGTAACACGACTAGATAGGTAGGTGCCTTTAGGTATAGATGGGCATGGGAAAGTTCGAATAACTAAATATGTAATATGCATTTAAAACAAGGCGTTTAAATGCTCGCGGGCACTTTGCGCTTTTCGCTACCCCCTGACGAACATTTGCGATAGTTCGCGAGCGCTTAGAGATTAGAGCACGAGACTTCCAGTACCCCATCCATTTGACAAACATCCAGTGTATGTTGACCTTTTGTGACCTAAAATGACCTTTGGATGACCTTGACACACGATATGTCTTATCTGATGCATTCGTTATAGCCGCTGATCACAAATATGACATCCAGTTTGCTCGAAGCGTTCATTTAGAACCTCCTAGCAAGGGTAGGTACTCTTGCATCGTTACCTTGTGATAGCCTTGCATCGTTACGCGAACCACAAATAGGGGTCTGATCAGCTAAAAAATGCTTCAAAACATTTTTTGATTCGGTCATAGAGAACATGAATCGGTATAATGATTCGGTATAGAGGATATTAAAAAGTGCAAAGTTTGAGGTCAATTTTGAGCATAGCCCTAACCTTGACTTTGATCTTTAACCCGCGCCCCGCTGGGCTATTCAGCCATACGCGCCCTGCTGGGGGGGGGGGGGCAGATTCTGCCCCCCCCCTGTCTAACTTCCGAACCGATGGTCGTAGAAAGACGGGGAAAACGGCAATCGAAAGCTCTCAACAAGGCGGATCTTAAGAGCCCAAATTTTTTTGCTTAAGTAGGTCAGAGGTCAGGTCAAGGTCAGGTCAAGGGTACAACATGCAAGTTTCTACAGTTTCGGCCTTGCACCGTAGTTGCCGAAGAATGGACTGAGACTGATTGCCCAAAACGTGTTCTTAGACTACCCAGACAATATTCGTTGCATACAATGTCATTCAAAGGTCAAGGTCAAGGTCAGGTCAGGTCAGGTCAGGTCACCAAAAACAAAATATAGAAAAGGGCATGTGCGACACATGTTTTATGGGTCATTTTACTCATAGAATTCAATAGGCACACTCAATTAGTGATATAGACCACCTCTGGATGAATTTCAGGTCGAGGTTAGGTCAAGGTCAGGTCAAGTGAGGTCAAATTTTGAAGTTGGTTGTTAAGGCCTAAAAAGGTGTCTATCTGATGCAGTTTTTCACGGCGAATCGAATAGTGCTATCTTTGTTTCCGTACGAGGTCTAGAACTTCTAAAAAAATCATATTTCAAAAATTTTGTGTGACGTGACGTCATAAAATTTTGAATAACTCCCACATTTTTGAACCGATTCTTCTAAAAATTGGTATGTAGGTGCACATAGACCACTTCTCTGACATATATTCCGGTTTTTTCGATACACTCAAAATTTTGGATTTTATAATCATTTTCCCAAAAAAGTCAGTTTTTTGAAAAAATTTGGGTCAAAATCCAAAATTTTCAAAAAACAGAGATAGCCATTTGATAGACAAAGTAGAATCACGTATAACCTTTTTTGTTACGTCTTGATTCCTTTAAAAATGAAGATGTTAGCGGCGTTTGAAATTTTGCCGTTTTTGAGGCGAAAATGGCGAACATGACGTCACTAAAACGTCAATTTCTCAAAAAATTTCCGACGGATGTCGCTCAAATTTTCAGGGAACGTGTCAAATTGATGTATGATAAGGTACTTAAAGTTTGACGTCGCTGGCGTAACGCGTTTAGAAGTTATTGGCGAAAAACGGGAGGGGGGGCAGATTCTGCCCCCCCCAGCGGGGCGCGGGTTAAGCATAGGGTAGACCGGGGCAAGTCGCCCCGCCGAGGTAAAACTTCTCACCGATGTTTCTCGGAACTGGCAAGGTTCTGGAGAAACATCATCTCTTCTATAAAACGTGCACTATATGATCATTATATGAGCAGACTGGAAAGAAATTGTGACGACTCTTTAGGGAGATATAGCCAAAAATGTGTTTTTGGAGTGATTTTTATGTTTTGTTGTCAGCTTATGCATCATGGCGTTCTTTTATGGTCCACATCAGGTTAACGACTTTTCTGTATTTTGAACAACTTTATCTAACGCTTATAATGCCGGCTTGGTTCGTTTTAAATTATGCCTTGCTGGAGTGCAAGGCGTTGTTC